CCCTATGAACCTGGAGAGAGGATGAAAGGCACCCAAGCGTCGAGGACTCTCCTTCATAAGGTCACTATGAGTCGCCTGTGACTCGACAGCACTTAACAACAACAACAACATTAGGCACCCAAGACTAAATGTATTACAAGTATTCTATCATACTCAATGTAGGTTTTTTTCCACAAAAATAAAACAAACCTTTTAGATCTATATGCTTTGTTATGGAATTCAGATAATGTTACTTTTTTTATTTCACCTTTTTTATAAGTGTTTCTTTTGCATATTTTTCTTAGGAGAGATTAAAATAGAAGTCTCTCAGTCTCTTCTAATGGACTATGATCTGGATTGGAGGACTGAATTGAAGGAAATCATTATCAAATTCCTTTATAAAGTGTTCTTTTAAATCATCCTAAGTGTAAATTTACCTTTCTTCACTGAAGCGACGACCAATCTTGACTTTACATTTCTCCTGAGGGAGGCATGCTGCTAGTAGAGGGACTGTCCGTAACACTTTGCTTTCCTTAATTAAAAAGTTACATAGATTTTTATTCAAACACATTTTAAAAAATTTAATAATGAACATTTGATTCATAACTTTATATATTATTTCTACTACTTTTACTATAGACAACAGTTTTATTCTGGTATTTTATATTTCTAAAATAGCTAAAATAAAGCAAGTATTGCTTTATAAATAGAAATTCATAGTATTTTCAGTTTTTATCTCAAAGAAATCTATTAACAACATATAAAATTATCTATAAATGACATTTGGAGTTCCTCTTATACTCATTTTAGATTACTATTTATTTAAATTCAAAGTAGAGCTTTATATCTTTAAGAAATTTTTAAAACTGTTATAGCATCATTTCAATCTGAGATTTTTCATTCTATAGCACAAGTAATTACAAACTATTCTAATTACATACATCATCTTAATTGATGATGGCAAGTAAATTCCTCACAAGAGTTACAAACATTCACACAAAATTTAACCCGGATTTATTTTCCTAATTTATTACTAAGTGTGATAAAAACATATATGATACTGTCCTGGATTGAATCACTCTGTCCTCCTCCCCTCAAAATGCATGGATTTAATGATAATGTGAATGCTATGAAAGTCCTCATGATCTGATGAAACAGTATAAGAGGCTTAAGGGTAGAAAGCAACACAGTCCTGGTCTACTAAAAAGAGTTTCCCTAAAGCTGGGTCGGTAAAACCCTTTAAAGAGGAGACATATGAGGGAACAAAAGTGATCCAGGAATGTAGGCCTCAGGATCACTGAGAATCATCAGAAGTGGAATTTATTTTTTGGAACTTAGGTTCTGAGTCAAGAAGCTCCTTGACACCAGGGAAAGCCAAGGCACATTGGGATCTTCAAGGACCATCAAGTACATAGATGCTTAAGGAAACACAGACTTTCCTCCAGATTCAACAGGGAAAGAGGGCCTTCTCCTAAAAGTGTCACTCTAAATTTGGGCTTATAGTCTCCTAAACTGTGAAAGAATCAATTTCTGTCTGTTAAAGCCATAAAACGTTCTGGTGGTACTGTTGTTGTGAGGGACCACTGACTGAAGTAAGACTCATAGCAATTCTATGAACAACAGCCCTGCTCTGTCCTGTTCCATCTTCATGATATCTATCATGCTCACGCCTACTCTTGTAATCACTGTGTCAATTTACCCAAAGGTCTTCTTCCTTTTCTTAACCCCCTACATTTCCCAACATTATAGCTTCTTCAAAGGGCTGGCACCTCATGACAACATGCCCAGAGTGAAAGAGATGAAGGTTTACCATCTTTACTTCTATGGGACATCCTTCCTCCAACATAGATGTGTTCACTCTTTTTATAGTTCAAAGTATATTTAATATTCTTCGCCAGCACTACAATTCGAAAGCATTCTTTCCTTGAAGCAATTGAAAAATACCCTGGCTTATATAAAGTACACTTCAGACTTTAAATCCCTGCTTTTTAGCACCTTAAAGAAGTCTCTGACAACAGAGTTCCCCAATAAAACATATCTTTCAATTTCTTGACTAATTGGCATGAAGGGTGTTAATTATGAATTCAAGTAAAATGAAGTCACTGACAAGCTTCAAACTTTTCTACATACATTATTATGCTGCCTACTGGTCCAAGGGTAAATATTTTTGTTTATGTGATATTGAGATATACTCCATATTGAAGACTATAATCCTTAAATTTCTTTAGTAAGTGCTTCTTCAAGTCTCCACCAATTCTACAAGCAAGGTTATCATTTTCATAATGCAGGCTATTGAGTCATCACCCAATCCTGATGCCAAATTCTTCTTCATGTAGTCCATCATCTCTAATCATTTGCTAAACATACAAACTGAATAGACAGTTGAAGGATACAATCGACATACATCTTCACTGATTTTGAATAATGTGGTATTTCTTTGTTCTGTTTAGACAACAGCTTCTTGGTCTACGTGTAGGAGTTACATGAGAACAAGTAAGAGTTCTGGAATTTCCATTCTTTTCAATGTTATCCATAATTTGATATGATCTAGTCAAATGCCAAAAGAACAAACAAGTCTGCTTTGAAGGAAGTACAAGCAGAGTGCTCCTTAGAGGCAAGGATGGTGAAACTTCATCTCACTTACATTGAACATGTTTATTTTCAGGATAAACCAATGCCTAGAGAGACATCATGTGGAAAATATAGAGGGTTGGCGAAAGAAAGAAAGACACTCCAGGAGATGGAATGACACAGTGACTACCACAATGGATTTGAGCAGGCCCGAGTTTGTGAGGATGGCACTGAATAGAGCAAGATTCAGAACTGTTGTTTAGAAGATCACTATGAATTGCAGTCTACTTGAAGGCACCTAACAACAACAAAATGATTCTGAAAAAAGTCACCTCATCTTAAGATCCATAAGCTTTATCATACAACACAGTCTCTTAAACAGGCAATTTAACACAATGGCAGGTTACCAGGATAACTGCTTTAAAGTGCCATAAAGACAATGATATATCAAAGTAACCCTGGGAAGAACAGACCTCTGAACTTTGCCTTATCCCGCATCATCCTATCTCTGCTTTGCTTGGGCCCTTTGTGGTAGTCACCATGTTAATCGATCTCATTGAGTCTGCCTCTCTTTCACTGATCACTTTTCAAACCTTCATATCTTTTTCCAAAGATTATTAGCTCCTGACACATGCCCAATGTACGTGAGATGAAGTTTCCTCATCCTTGTCTGGTTGTACTTCCACAAAGGCATTATTCTTTTAACGGTGTGTGGCATATTCAATACTCTTAGGTGAGGGCTATCTTCACAGGGCTACTATTCCTTCTAAAACAATGACTGAAATAATTATACTCAACAAAAAAAGAAATCAATTGTCAATCACAGAATAAGAAAATAAAGAAGAGAAGCAAGCAAATGACTCTGAAAGAGTATAAATTTTTCTCAAAATCAAAGCTCTATACTCTATTACTAAGGAAATGATATGTGAACTTCCTAAAAAGAAAATTAATTTCTCTAACTATGCACATAATAGTAAAATAAATAGATAATCTCAATAAATACAAGGAAGAGGAATCTCACTACCAGCAAAAAAGAAGTAGCAGAGAATATAGCACGATTTCTGAGTCACTTACTCTGAGGCTTACAGGAGAGCAGGAGCAGCCACAGTGAACCAGAGACTCAATGTGAGACCGAGCTGACCTAGGACTGCTGCTTCAAGGCACCAGAGCCAAGAACCTTCACCCTAGCTTGCTGGAGGACTTGGGGGGGAGATATCATAATTGGAAGGACCAAGAGAGTTTTATAACAGTGACCTAAAACCATAAGGCTGAAGGACCTGGGAGCATATTTCAGAAGTGGGTGTGGCTAAGATTTTATCCTGTTGCCAATCTGAATGGTAAACTGTTAATCTCCCTAATAAATCCCACATAGTTCTATGAGGTCTCTGTAGCTACTACAATGAATTTCTGACCAAGTGGTGCAATAGTATTGGTGCTGAATTAGTACAGGCGGCTCAGAAGCCTAAGAGACATATCTGACCTCATGAGAATAGGTAGTGTGTGGTAGATGGTGCTGATGGGGGTAGTTCCCCTTTGTGGAGTTAGTAGAAGACAGACTTGGCTCTCACACTTCCTTCACTTTTTTTACACAGGCATTAACACTCTACTCCAGGGACGATTCCCTACAGATAATTTGTACAAAGTATGTGAGAGAAAGTCTTGCCTTTCTTGTTTCTAAGTTTTCTGGTTGTACTTCTACAGCAGATTCACCCATTCTTCTGCCAGTCCATGGTTAAAATAAATCCAATGATTTTCTTAGTTATATCAAGGTCCATGTGTAGTGGAAATAATTAACCTGCTTGGACACTAACTGAAAATCTGGTGGCTTGAGTACACCCAGAGGTACCTACGAAGAAAGATTTTCTGATTTACATTTGAAAAAGCAACCACTGCAAACACAATGGTGTACAGCTCTACTCTGAAACACAAAAGTCATAATTTTATATTCTCTCTCTAGTTCTTGACAGTAAGTGTGTTGGGGTGACATTGCCAATGAGTAAGAAGGGGTGAGATAATGTCATCATCTTTGGAAAATGTAATTCAGCACAATCATTCTTATAAATTAAATTGTGTACTCTAAAACATGTTATATAAAAACTCTGTAGATGCAGTGTAATGTAATATAACCCTATCATTTCCATAAGTTTCCTATAAGTGAAACTGAGCTTCAAGTCATTAGACAAAGTCCCCAGTCACAAGTTAGCGATCTGTAGCCCTGCTCCATGACGTTTTCAATTTGCCTGTCCCTGCAGCTGACAATCTCTGAAGCCAGAAGCCTGAGACTCTGGCTCAGGAGCCTCTATGATAATAATGTGAAGGAGGTAAATAGCACTTCTGGGGAGGAAACGTGCAAATAAGGTGTGTAGACTACTAATGAGGTCAGTTTTGTCACCTGTCAGGCTTAAGTTAAACAGGTTTACGTAGCAGAAAAATGAGGGTCTTGCTACCACCAAGAAAGAAGAAGTGGAGAGTGGGGTATTCATCTGTTTGGGCCAGGTATTCCTGCATGAGACAGACCAGGACTAAGACCAGAGCAGTAGCAGTTGCAGCAGTAGACGGTGGAAGAACCGAATACCAACCCGATGGTACTGAAGTGGCACACTATGGAACCAGCCCCAAGCTTACTAGAGGGCTATGGAGAAGCTGACATAATTAGGAAGGACTAAAAGAGCTCTGCACCACTGATTCAGAACTGAGAAGCTAAAACCAACCAAGCAAATTACAAAACAAGCTAAAAATCTGGGCAGGTATCTTACTAAAGAAGGTATACAGATGGCAATAAGTATAGGAAAGATGCTCAATATCACAAAACATTAAAGAAATTACAGATTAAAACAACAATTGAACCACACATCTATTAAAATGACTAAACAATACCAAAAGCTGACTAGGACCTATAACAGGAACTACCATTCATGGCTGGGGGGGTGGGGGGATGGATGCAAATGAGTCAATTCACTA